GCAGCAAGAGCGCAGCAGCAGCAGCAACAAAAACACAAAAATCAACAAGCAACAAGCAACAAGCAACAAACAACAAGCAGCAGCAGCAGCAACAACAACAACAACAACAACAACGACGACAACAACAGCACCACCAACAGCAACAACAACAGCAACAGCAACAACAACAACAACGCTCCATCAACCTGTAAACGCGCGCGTTGTAAGGCTGGTGGTTTTTGCGTGGACACAGAGAGAGTGCCGACATGCATTTTACGTGGCCTGCGTGGGACAAAACCCACTCTCGCTTAGCTCTGTTCGCGAAATTTCTTTGCGTGCCTTTGCCTCGGTTTTCCATGGGAGCCCTTGCTGCAAGACAACAATTGCGTTTGTGTGGGAAAACGCCGGACGCAAAGTTCAGACAAGCGCGTGTTTGGAAATTGTGGTGTTGTTTCCTGTGGTACAAGAAGCACTTCCAACAATAGCAACATGAACATGAGAATGACGGTCATGAGCGGAGTAGACACAGAAAGAAGGAACATAGCTCTGCAACATGATGACGACCAGCATGAGCATCATCATCATCATCCTCACCATCATCATCATCATCATCAGCATCATCATCATCATCGTCATCTTTATTTTAATTCTGAAACGCAAGAAGTTTTGAGGATTCATGGCTTGGGCTTTCTTGAGGCTGACCGAAATGCGGAGTACTGGGACCTTTGTGACTTATTGGGCTTAGGTTATTCTCCTAAACCCGGAACCTTCACCCCAGAGCTGGACGGAGACAGCAGCACGGAATTCGGTGCAAAAGGAAAACGCGTCTCTGACCTACATGGCTGTTTGTTCCAACTCAATCATGCCCGACGACTGTCACAGTACTAGTAGTATTGGTAATAGTAGCAGTAGTAGTAAATTGTTGTTGTGGTTGGCCCGGACACTGCGCTGTTCGCAAAACGAACTAGACCATGGACGTCATTAGGTTGTGGGCATGGATGCGCTGTTCTCAAGACGGACTAGACCATGGACGTCATTACGTTTGTGGGCATGGATGCTCTGTTCTCAATAAGTTCTTTGGGCATGGATGCTCTGTTCTGAAAATGCACCAGACCATGGATGTCATTAGGTTGTGGGCATGGATGCTCCGTTCTCAAACGCAGTAGACCATGGACGTCATTAGGTTGCGGGCATGGATGCTTTGTTCTCAAGAAAGATTAGACCATGGACTCCATGGACGTTACTACGTTTGTGGGCACGGATGCTCTGTTCATGGACGTCATTATGTTTGTGGGTACGGATGCTCTGTTCTCAGAACGCAGTAGACCATGGACGTCATTATCAAGTTTTGGGCATGGATGCTCTGTTCTGAAAACGCACTAGACCATGGACATCATTAGGTTGTGGGCATGGATGCTCTGTTCTCAAACGCACTAGACCATGGACGTCATTAGGTTTTGGGCATTGGATGTAGAGAAAACACCGCAAATACCGAGGGTTTCGGTACTGCAAGCAAAGGAAACCCCGTAAATACCGAGGGTTTCGGCACTTGCAGAATCGTGAGTTTGCAGACGCCGGGAACGCCGACGCCACCGATATATTCGGCACATGAAGTGACGCAAACACTGTAAATACCGATCGAATCGGCATGTCGGTTTTGCGCGTTTACAGGTTGTACGGGCCTACCACAACAACAACTACAACCACTACCCACACCCACCACCACCACCACCACCAGCACCACGACTACGACTACGACT